ACGCGCCTAACATTAATCCTATTACATGTACTAATCTGACCCGTTAATTCCAGCACTACCCCAGGTGTGAGGTCAATAATGCCAAGTCAGCAAGTTCAATTAGTTTAACAACATCAGCACTACGCTCAAAATTTAAAAGATCCCTACATCAATATCACATACTTGCCAGCTCTCCCTATCTAAGAGGGAAACTCCCAATTTTGGACCCTAAAATTGAGCATTTTCAACCAGTGAATTTGCTAAACTATTCCTTTATTCCAAGATCTAATGATTTCATCTGATAAAAAACAGCTCAAAAGATGCAATTTAAAAGTGGTATTTTTTCCCTAGGGGGTACATACACACATTTTATCTTTGTATTTAATTCTGAGCACGCATAATCTCCCCCATGGAAATTTCAATAAGTTGGCAAGCATGATATCATAAAAACTTGTGGTACACCTGATATTTGGCTCTATTACTTCCTTCTTATTCGTACAATTGTATTAAATAATTATTTGCGAGTGATTTTTTTTCCTTTGAAATTTCAGTGCTTTTTGAAATGCATCTGCTACGTACCAGCTAACAACGTCAAGGGGATACACCTTGGACATCATAGGTTCCTTACTCAGCATTTCCCAATTATATTAACCAAGGTTGATAATTATTTTAGGTATTCCAGCTGCAAATTAACTTCTAAGGATAATCAATAGTTAATATTTGTTTATAAATCTGAGGACACAAATCACATCCGCCTGCAGGTACTCCTGAACCTTTTGATCTGATGAAATTAAAGACCGAAATAGACATTGCATGTCAATTAACAATGTCCGCTACTTTGAAATCAACACCTACACATTTCTAGTTGTTTAGGGGATGTTATATATCCATGATGTCTGCAAATTTTCTTGGATTCAGGTTCATTCAAACTTCATAGGAATATGAAACTTGTCTATTTTAAATTGTACATTATATTCAGGGTAACAACATCAGCACTGTGCTTGGTTGGTTGGTTGGTTGATCGGTTTATAGACTCATTTTCACGGGCAGAGCCCGTGTTCTCGCGTCTTGAGGGGGTAAGTCTCCAGCTTACCAGGCCCTCGGTGATTCGAAATGACCTTGCCCGTCCAGATCACGTCCTAAGGTCGGTCAGCTCCTTAGATGCGGATAGGCTGTCACAGTTACATACAACACGTATACGGGAGCGTGGAACACGTCCTTGAAACAGCTTCACCATCCGCCTATGCAGCACTGTGCTCAGAATACTTTGATATATATGCCTGTTCAGTTTACACGTTTTCAAAAACAGAAATGGTACGATTTTGGATTTTAAGCTCATTTTGAAAACAGCAAATTATATTTGTGATTTACCCATACCCCTTTTTGTTCCCCCCAAAAACACACTTTCAGTTAAACTTTTACCTTAGTTTTTGCACATGTAATACAATAGGACATCTTTGAACAAACTAAGGACGTGAAAATCTTAATATACGGGGGACCAAAAAAGGGCCTTATTGACACTCATCCTTTACAGTATCATTGCAAAGTGGAAAATCCAGGTCATTCTTCGAATAATTTCAGCTTCAGAATAAAGTTCACATAAAATTCATTTTTATTTTTTTTCTCCATATTTTTGAACACTTCCCCATTAAAGATATATATAATTTCCTACTATGTTTTTCCTAATCTGATCAATAAAATTTGAATTGATTTAACCCTTTCACCCCTATGTAACTTTAGTAGACTCTACCATGCATTGATATGGATGAGTCCATTATGGTCAACAGTGTTGAAAGGGTTAAAGAACAAAAATTGTACAAAGAAACTATATTGTGTAAGAAAACTTAACTCCTTGATAGCTTGTCTATTAAGAAATAAAGGCCTGGAGGTAGCATGTCTGCCTTGTAATTGAGCCTTTCCTAACATTTTCTTGAAACATGTCCAAACAGCTACTGGTATGTGTGAATCTAAATCCCAAGTCAATTCCCACATAGCTTGTCCAACAATATGTAAAGTCCGTCGGAGCTTAACCGACCAATTGATCTGATCATTGGATTTCCTTTAATTCCATCCAATAAGTCACAGAACATGCAACTTCAGTATTTTTCTATTTGGTATATGCTTGTTAACAGTCCATAATAATTGCCTAAATTTTAATTGTATATCACATCAACAAAGTTCCTCCAGTAAGGGAGTATTTTTCATTTCTCTTTCGAACATGCTTGCAACAAGAATGAATTTTCTTTCAAATACTAGTTAACACTTCCTGTCAACAAGAACAAGTGCTAATTTTTTTCAAACCTGCTAACATGAAACTTGTGTAAGACCCCTCAGCTACAAACTATCACATTTTGGCTTTATATTTGTTCTTATTCAGTGTTCTTCATTCAACAAAAAATGTGCACTATCCCAAATCAATTTTAACAAAACACCTTCTAATTTGAAATGAAAATGGATTGAAATTGCTTCATTTTTTTTGTCATGTAAACTTATTCTTCCATTGTTGAAGAATTAAGATAAATATGATGTACATAGAAAGAAGAAATGTGTTTTAAATGCTTTAACATACATTACCATTCTCAACATCACAGAAAAAACTCTTTTACCTTTTCCAAAGATGGCAATAAAATAAAGGTATTTAAGGAATATTATAGTGATTGTCATGTGATGACAGACATCTTAATATTGAAAGAACCTTTCAAATAATCAATATCATTATTGTTATCTCAATTTGAAAATAGTTTAGACGTTCAGGGAGAATTTTAACCCTGAGAATTGAATGTTTTAGAAAATGGAGACAGGTCTGCCAAATTTTGTCCTGGATAGAGGGAGATTACCAAATGTTATCTATAATTTTCATTTTCCTTTCAAAATCAGCAATAGTTCCTTCCGTTTAGCTTTTTATTCAAATTCAATTAATTTGCTTCATAAAATAGATTGAACATTAACATTTTACACTATTTTGTCAATTAGGGTCATTCAAAGTCCTTTATAAAATTTCTAGATAAATTTTGCCCTACTTTCTTCCTCTTTTGAATAATTTGATAAGTTGGCAAGAAATGCCACAACAGTTTCACAGTCTGTTCTATATATATATATAAACATGTCGTTTATCATATTTTCCTTGGGGGGATGAATAGTAGAAAAACTTTTAACATATATATACAAAGTAACTAAAAACAGATTCCTCCAGGCATTATGATGGCCATGAAACTTGATGAAAACACATTTTGAACCATCTACAAAATTAGGCCAAGTCAGATGATATGAACATTTATTCCTCAAAAACATGAAGAGTTAGCTATTTAAGTTATACAATAAGGGCCTTTCCAGGGGATTGGGGAATTCCTGGGGGGGGGGGGGACACATTGAATAAATATTCCAATAACAACTCTCCTCCTTTTTTTTCTCTCTACAATGTATTTTGGTTAAAGAACATATGAACACTTCAATTGGGGCCCATGGCACTTAAAAGAATTGGAAAGTGCCTTAGCGGGGCACTTATCTGGATAATACAATGTGAATTATAGAAGAAAAATTTGTGCAACTTCAACCAATGTTTTCATCAAAGGACATTCTAAACATTCCAGCATGTGGCTGAACATTTGGAAATCAAATGTTTCATCCGTTCCACGGAGGTCCGTCCTTGATGACCAAACTGCTTTAAAGTGTCAATACTATAAAACCAGGGCCTGAGTCGAGGAGGGTTTATTTAATTTAATTTTTCTCGAAAAAGGAGAAGGGGTGATAATTACGATGAATACAGACGTATCTGCACATATAGTCAACATTCAATTCTTAATAGTTAATGTTTTGTACATGCTTATTATAATAGAATTATGATTGTACTTATTGCTAATTTTTACTGTATAACTGCAGTCTGTGAAACTACTGACGTCCCATTGGCGATAAGTCTATTCAAATTCAGACGGCTCTAATTAGACCTGACCAAATTCTCTTCACTTTATATCTTTCCATTTCCGTTTCCATACAACTCGTTATAAGCTTGGAGAAAAAGGTCAATAACTTCATTTCAAATAATTGTATAGCTTTAGCTACAGATACTTTACGTAGGCACCAGGCCACAGTTGCTCAAAGGTTGGTTAAAGTTAGCAAGTAGTTAGTGAAAAATTCAAATTCTTGCTATTAAACAAAGGCTTCAAAGCAGAATTATCCCTCAAAACACATCCAGTGAGGTTTTTTCTGGGGACTTTTCAGGGCCGATAATGGGCCCATTCCCAAGTGAACCTATTTCATATTATGCTTCGTTCCCAAATTTGCACTTTACTCCTGAAGATTTCCTGCCCAAATTCATTGGTATATTTTTTCCCAAAAATGAGACAAAAAAGGCCACATCTCGAATTAACAAAAAAAAAAAGATGACATCAATCTGGTCTGTCTCAATAAATCCATATAATATTATACTATCAACAAAACAAAACAAAATTATATTGAAAATAAAATCTTCACACATTTGATGAATTGAAGACGTCTTGCATTTTAAAAATACATTTCGGAGAAACAGACCCTGGTTGCTGGAGGCACCTCTCATTGCTAGCCGACACCTACAGACAGGACATCATTATGTCATCAAAGTCCAAGCTTTGAAAAATATCTGTATCCCATTTTATAACTTTTGAAAAACATTTTTAAGGCCATACAATGAAATCCTGCTAAGTATAACAGATGGAAAAGCATACAAAATATAAATTATATTATCTATCACTTTGTTAGTTACAATTTAGTTGGTAAAAAAGATATGGAACACCTTGTATGTACAGTCTTTTTCTCATTTTGCCTAAAGATTTTGTTTTTAATAGAAGAATTTTCAAAGCAATTAGTCCACAAAGTGGCTCCCCAGGGGGATTTTTACACGTTGATTGACATCGGTAAATTTAGGGTGTGTCTCGCAAACACCCGAGCAAGGCCACCCCTGTATTGTTAGGTAACAGGAGGTGACACACCCACTGTTCAAACTAGTCACTACCTGTATGTAAATATTTCGTGGAAAAAACACTTACCTGAGTCTGTACAGCAGGGTTACCAAAAGCCAATCTCTTCTTTACGTCTTCCATTTTGAACTGAAAAAAATAATTTAGCAACTCATTATAACTTTCCAAGTAGTATTCATTAAAGGGGCTGGGGTTGGATGGGAGGAGAATCGTAAGATGAACTTAAATTTTTGACACATACCATAGTGAAACAAATCTTTCAAATATGCCGATTTTTTTTTCATTTTTAACAACTTTGTTAATTACAAAAAGATATAATTTCTGCACAGAATTAATTGTCAAGCAAACTTTCATTAAAAGCATAAAATTATATCAATTGATGTACAAATAATGGAGTAATGATGTAAAATTTATATGAATATTTTTTTGTTTAATATTTAAAAAAATCTTTAACAAATCTTTTAAATATTCAAGCCAAAAGTTTTTATTTTCATACTTTTATTTTTGAAAAAAGAAAAAGTTATTTCAATTATCATACAATTATCAACTGTATAAACTGGATACTTAAATAAATTGTTTTGACTTTTGTTATTTTACTAAAAATGTATGGGAATCATTTTCATCACTAATTCATAAACATAGATTGAGGATACTCAAAAGTTCATAAATTAAACTGCAAAATCAACTTGGTACTATGATGAATGACAGGGTTTTAATTAATCGTTTAATTTTTGTTATTAAGAATTTATGTAGAAATACTATGATTTTTTTTTGCGATTTTATTTTCTCTTTCAGCACGAAATGGTGAATTAGGAAAAAAGTGAATTAATCGTAATAAGTATTGTTAAATATGATTTTGGGATAATGGCTTTAAGAGTCCACTCAAGTCTTAAGCGTTGATACTATCATACAAGTACAGTCTCTTATTCTGCTTCTAGCTGTCTAGTATATTCGCCGGGAACCATAATGTTTACATTTCTTTTGTATTGCCAATCATTGGATTAGATGACAGCAGAGTGACCAACTGTCTTTGAAAACCTTTCATTCTATGTATAATGTATTACATATAAGCTGGGTGACAAGTTTTTCTAATCTTGGGATGACACCAATACTCAACCATAATAAGATTTTTGACAGTCAGAAATTAGAGTCATTGACGACACGTGTTTGTTTCATTATTTCTGTCCATCATTTCACTGCTACTTTCTCTTCTCTAGTAACCATGAATGTACATATCTATTTTCGGGATGATAATTATGCAAATTTTCTATAGCATGATAATGAATAATCAATAAAGTGTGGGTGGGTCATTCGTGTGGCAACTGTTCGCACCTTTGACAGGTATGAGCACGAGATTATTTACCTGCCTGAACAGGTGCTCTCAGTTAACAGCTATCAGCATTGCGTAGTTGGGCGATAGTAGAGAGGTTCCGAATGACAACGGAAGTAAGACATTTTGTTTGTAAAATATTTATTTATTTCTTTACGTACTTTAGAATAGTGGAAACTTGACAGTATCAATTATTTTTGATAAAATCAAAAATGCACATCAGGTTTATGAATTTGCAGCTTGAAATCTAAAATGTCGAATTGTTGCTACAAATCATCAACAATTTCGACCAATCAGAAACATGTTGATTTCGGTAATTGACCAATGAAACTGGTGCCGCATTTATTCGAAAGCACTTCCGAAGTACGCTGATGCTTCTGGGATAGTTAGCTGTGGAAATAGGCAGAGTGCGGCTGAGCTGATATTTCATGCAGTGTTTTCACAGCAACAACTACATTACGCATTTACAAAAGCAACCAATAGACTAATCATGGCTGTAACTAGAGCACAGTCGGTGAGTATATGAATAATTTAATTTTTTATTGGAAAATCATTCGTAAAATAAGTCACGTCCTTCAACATAAACAAAGTCGGACATGTTTTCGTGCTCAATTTGGCTTAGTTTCGAGTTCTTTCATGACATTTTCCATTTTTCTGTACCATTTTCATGAATAATGTGGAATAAGTATTCATCTAAATTGCAGTAAGTACGCTTTTTTGGTGCAGAACATTTTAATTATGTTAATGTTTTCGAGTTTTCAACAAGAATGTAAGGGCGGCTAAGAGCAACTTGCAGGTACGAACATGTTTTGGTACGATTATATAGAGGAACTTTACAGGTCGGCGAAAATAATCTTTTGCACAGAGTAATGCGATTTATAAATTGTTCGAAGACGGTTATTGTTTAATCCATTTTTATGGTAAGTATTTTCCGAAAAAATTGTACATTTTGAAATTGTTTATTTGAGAACGAGTGGCTATATTTTTTGAAACAAGAACTTTTTGTTGGTAGGTTTAATTTCTTTTCTGACATATGTTCATGTACCGATGGAAAATAATAATTTCGCCTGGTGATTGTGAAAAACAATGCATGGAAGCAATTAAGTGTTTACTGTTTAGAAAAAAGACGATATAAAGAACATGCACAAACATTGAAGTATATGCATTTTGTATGTTGAATGAATTTATTACTTGATTTTTTTTCTCATTTCAGGCAAATATACTTCAACATAACGTCAAGATGGCGATCAACAAAGAAAATCCAGACCTGAAAGCCTTGACGGCGAAGACGAATGGCCTTGGTCTGGCTGCTCGTCCAGTGTCGCACGCTGGTCAAAGATCTGCGCTTGGGGACATTCGCAACAAAGTCTCGGCGATATCAATAGACACTAGTAAAAAACAGGCTGCCATAAAAAAGGAAATAGTTCAATTATCAAACAAATTACAATCTCAACAACAGTCCTTGCAATCGCAACAACAATCCTTGGTGCTAAACAAAACGAAAGCCACATCTTCCCTTAAGTCATTAATAGAGACGCAAACAGACTACGCCAACCATGTTCATCTGGTAAGTAGCCAATATTAAACCAAGAAATGCAAGTTTTTAAAATGTAAAACATAAATAGCTCTTGATATGGCTAATTTTTGGCACAAGTATGCAAAGAATTGGTAAAAAAACATCTTTAGCTAAGCATCAGTTCTTTGGGGTATGGAATTTAAGGATCCATTGAAAATAAAATTAACATCTGACAGAAATTTTTAACTTTTTAATAGGATTTTATATATATTTAAAAGGGAGATAACCCTGTATAATTATTTTTGAATTTTGCGCATGTTTTTAACAGAATAATACCCTATTTTAATCAGGATGCAGAAGAACCTGTTCATAAACCAGAGCCAAAGATGCCTGAAGTATTACGATCAATGCCATCGCAACCATCAACAGTGTCGTTGGTTCCGGCCACGATACCCGAATGTATGGACATCAGCGATGACAAACCTGAGGCATTCTCAAAGGCACTGCTCAAGGTGCAAGATATTGATGCAAATGACAAAGAAAACCCACAGCTGGTCAGCGAATATGTCAACGATATCTACACCTATATGAGGCAATTAGAGGTATAAGCTCCGGCTTGAACTTTGTAGCTTTCACAGAACTTGTGAACTTGCAGTACCCATGCTTTTCTTAGCATGTGTATTTGGAGCAGATTTTTTTTTACAATTTGTATTAAAAATCTCATATTTTCATAAAAATTTACATAGAATAAAAAGTCGAGAAAAAATATACAATATATTGTCAATTTTTCCATAACCTCCAAAACATCTTTAAAAGGATATTTTACGATTGTATGTGCAGGAGAAATACACAGTGCAACAAAACTACTTGGAAAACCAGGAGGTGTCTGGGAAGATGCGGGCCATCCTCATTGATTGGCTGTGTCAGGTCCACCACCGATTTCACCTACTCCAGGAGACCCTCTACCTCACAGTAGCCATCATCGACCGGTTCCTTCAGGTAATTACAGAGATGATCACGTCGACAGCTGATATATATGTGGTAAATTATCTTACAGGCAGTTTTAATATATTCACCCCTGAAATTTCATAATGTACTATTGCGACCTTTGAATTGGAAGAGGTTAAATGTGTCTTCAGGGAGTTAAAAAGGTATCGCTGTCCTTTAGACTGAAAGGTCGATGTTTAGACCAGCAAACCTGCATAATTTCATGGGTATTTTGATGCTGTCTATACTTGTGTTGTATTTAAAAAAATGCAACCAGTTTGAACTGCTTTCCTATGCTATTGGTATTCCATTGATCCGTACGATTGGAAAACTTTCCTGTGCATCGCAACCATGAGAAGGTGGAATGTTTCTTCCTGATAATATTTCATAATTTATTATTCAAATTTCTTTGAACATAAATATTTATTGGAGTAATAACAAATGTTTATCACTAATATGTTTCATTGTGACGTTAAGACATCTTGTGATAATTTATTTCCAGGTGTGTCCTGTACCAAGGAATAAGTTACAGTTAGTGGGAGTGACTTGCATGTTAATTGCGTCAAAATACGAGGAAATGTATGCGCCAGAATTGGCAGACTTTGTTTACATCACAGACAATGCTTATCAAAAGAAAGACATTCGTGATATGGAAGCTAAAATTCTCCGGGCATTAGATTTCAATATGGGAAAACCTCTGTGTTTACATTTTCTCCGACGGGATTCCAAAGCTGGACAGGTAATTGACCAGAGAACATAATAATAATGGCTGCCAATTAAATCCTCATCCTGATCGTGCAATATTGAAAGTGATGAAGTTAAGCTTAAGTCTATAAAGATATCGGTGTCATATTAAGTTTTCAATTGTTTAGCTGAAACCTAAAAAAGACTGACTGTTCTCATATATATCATTTAGATAATAGTTGTAAAGCAGGTAATTTGCATGTCTTGTACATAAATTGTCTCTCCGGAATTAATTTCTGAATACAAGTTAAATTTTAAGTATTTCATTCAAACTTAAATATATTGATCACAAATCAGATGGGAGAAAAATTTACATCTTTTTAGTTCATACAAAGCATGATCAAATATTGTGTACATGGTTGGAGTTGAACAGGCTTTAAACCTCGACTCTTTTGGGTCTTGGGGAATATTTCAACAAATCCAACTAAATTGCTCTTTTCCACAGGTGGATGCCATGAAGCACACACTCGCCAAATACCTGATGGAGCTGACCATCGTAGAATATGACATGGTGCATTATAATCCTTCAGAAATCGCTGCTGGTGCTCTGTGTCTCTCCATGTTGATTCTCGACGGTACCAAATGGGTAGGTAGTGAACACTCAAATATAGCAATGTTGACTTGTCTCCCGCACCTGGAAGTATACGTACCTGAAAAGTTTGTTATGTCCTCTCTATATATATCCTGGAGTGAGGGAAATAACAGGATTTTTGAAAAATTGTTATTCTGTTCAATCTTTATTCAGTATTATTCCAATTTAAGATAAAAGGCGTATCAGTAAGATAAATTGAATTTGAAGCAGTATAAGCTTCCGGATTGCGCAACCCTATAAACATTTTGTGCCTACCACCTCTCCGTTATGATCAATACTGGAATACTCCTTGCAGTTAATCACAAATACTGAACATTTCTTTCCCACATATGCCAAGCACATGTCTTTGATGGCATAAGAATGATTTCCTGCTAGAGCGATGACATTTGATATGACGACCACTGATATACCGGATAACACTAACAAAATGTATTGTTGAATCACAGACGGACACGCTGAGTCACTACAGCTCCTACACCGAGAAGGATCTCGCGCCCATGGTCCACAAGTTATCAACTCTAGTCATCAAAGCTGATAAAAGCAAACTTACAGTAAGTATGAACATCTTTAAATTTCTGCAACGGAAATCATATCTTTGAATTTTCTGCATATCTGAATAATTTAAAAAAAAAAAAATGGTATTTTTATAATAGTCAGCAGTCACCGACTTTTCACCCACAATTTCTTTCGAAATTGATAAAGTAGATGTTTACAAAATGTTATTGATACAGTTGCGATTGCAAATAAAAAGATAAAGCATAGTTTACATTGTTCTTTCTTGTTGCAATAATGAGTTTGATTACTTGCTTAAGAAAGAAAAATCTTTGGAATGTTGCACACATTTTTGTGGGGTCCTGTCGATCCAAAAAAACTAGGTATCATATGTTATGTATCTTTTATTACAGGCTGTAAGAACAAAATATGCCAGTTCAAAGTTCAACAAAATCAGCACCATCTCAGAGCTACAATCTCAAACATTAATAGACTTAGCATCAGCTGCGGAGACAGCGTCATGAGACTGTGTCTTAAATCATTCCCCTAATGAGCATTTCCTGTGATGTACTTTGGTGTGGCGCGAAAAGAAGAAAGTTGACCCAAGTGAACATTTCCGATGCCAAGCCGAACACTATTTTAAAAAAAGTTTTAATGGATACCATTGAGAAAGCTTGCGTTTGATTGGTTGATGCACATGGATGGAGTTGTGAAGTGTTTTTCACCAGTATTGGACGTGACTGATTATGTATGCGAGAGTTCCCTCAAAGGGAAACGATGCTGAATTGTTGATCTGTGTGTGTAAATGACTACTTGATGTGAGTGAATGTAATCTGTTTGCATGAGAGAATAGCTGTTGACCATAAATGATGCGAAAATGCATTTTTAGATGTATGGAATATTTTTTTATAATGAGCTTGAAGGGAGCATGGTAATCTCGTATGAACAAGTCGGCTGATCATGACACGAAAATCCTTGAAAAAACTTATTTCTTATAAAGTCCTCCACAAATTAACGTTGTTGATACTGAAAATAGGTGAAAAGTTGTGATTTGTGTGGAACTCGATAGGACATGACTTTTTCCAAAGATGAAAAGATTTTTTTTGTATAAAGGAATGAAAAGTGCACACAAGTTCATCTGGGTTTTCCAAATCTTATTTCTGTCTCAAAAGGAAAGGTTGGTTTTATGTTATTACTGCGTTCCCTTGATCTCTGTGTCCGTCAGAAGTATCGGTCAGTTTGTCCCAAGAATATGAAATTCAGTATTTTAAATGTTTTGCTCTTTCCGAATCACTGTTGTACAACACCTTTTTATTTGTTTAATCTTGTTGCATTTGTGAAAATATTTTTTTATTTCTTTTAAAATTGTTTTTCAAATATTTCAATTATCTCAGAACCGTGCTTACATTGACTAGTGCAAAATTATTAAGATTTTAAGTAAAAAACCAGATGGACTTGTGTCTACTTGATTTGCCAAAATGTAAATGAAAATAATCGGCAAGAATATAATATTTAAAATATATAGGCAGAATATTTGGATTTCAATTACACTGGAGTATAAAGAGATCTAAACTAGAGACACCAGTTGTAATAAGGAGTAATTATCTTGATTGATACAAAAAATCATGGAAATTATACTAATTTGTGTATGAAATAAGTTTTTGGAGAATTTTTATTTTGGATTTGATATTTATAAGCTATTTATTTACATGGGCTCAAAAGATGTGTTTACTTTTTTGTTAAATGGTGTAATCATACAAATTTCATAAATGCCATCATCTTGTGGAATTTTGGTGATGGAGGAATTGTTCAGACTTTTGTGGATTTGGGGACGGGGGTTATCATTTCTTATAGAGTTGAGACAGTCAGGGTATTCTGTGTTTGTTTAGAAGATTTAGGGAAGTAAAATTGAGGCGCCAATCGCAACTCACTCAGCCTTGGTTGAACTGGCAGCCCCACTTGAGTCTTTCACAATATTGTGTATATTCGCCATTAATTTATTTATATATTGTAATGCTGCCCTAAACAGGCCAGTGGTATTAGCTAGAGGTGGTAGTCGGGCTTTCTCCCGGCTCTCAACACCAGGCCAGACAATGGTTCTGTGATTAATCAAATTAAATTTTGTTTGGTTATGTACTGATCAATTTGACAGTCAAAATGTTATTTGATTGGTCATTGATAGTGTCTATAAAAAAAACTGAAAATTCAGCATCCATATTTTTTGCAGGACGAATCACTGACATGAGTTTGTCATTTCAAATTTGAAAATTTGTTTATCTCTTGACAGAAAAATCCCTGAAAATATCAAATTTAATCATCAGAGCATCTTCTAAATGGTATATGAACAAAATAAAGAAAACATAGTAAATGAAATTTTTTAATTTAAGAAAAGTTTACAACTTCGTAAAGTTTTACTTGTAAATGATGTTTCGGAAAAAAGCGTAGCTGAATTTCTTGTTTTGTTGGATGTTGTCTGGTTTTGGTTGTTGGGGGTCAGGGGTACTCCGGCTACACTCCGATATTGATCAGGTAGTACAATTTGTTCATCCGTCTTAGTTTTTAATGTAGCATGCATACCCCAATATTATTACCATTGTATGAACATGTATATATAATTTGAAATAAAATATAAAAAAAATATTGAAATATTTTGTTTTAACTACAGAGATATGGTGGAGTTGGATCTGGAAACCTTGCTTGGACACTAGTTCAATAAATGTTGATTGATGTTCTGGTTAAAATGCAGATTCTCTGGTATTTTCAAAATGGAATTATCCTGTTAAAGATTGGAAGGCATGTTCTTTTTTATGCCTGCATGAAGTGGATCCTGTATCATCCTCTCTATACACCAACATTTGGTTTTTACATAGGTTCCAGACACGTTGGTAAGGGATAAGTTTTATTAAACTAAGCACAAGAACAGACATCTCTTTGAGCCCAGAGAAAATGTAAGGTCAACATTGCCGACCACAAAATGGGCATGATTGGGAAAATTGGTTTCATTCCTGACAAGTTTTTCGAATATGCAGTGAAGATTGGGTATTTTTTGCAGCATTGCTGTCGAGCTTTGATAACTCATTTCGATAAGATTAGTTGAAGGTCATGACCCGAATCCCGGAATCGACCATACATATATATTGATGAAAACATTGGCGTCTCGACGCATTTCTCACTAAAAGTTTAGCTTAACTTTTTATTCCTAAAATCAATCTTGAGGGCATTTGCTAGTTAACGTCGCGGTCTTAAGTATTTGAAAATGTTCATTTTGTTCGCTGTAGAACCATTGCACATACTTTATAGTCAGTGGTTCTCAATTTTATAAAGATTTAGTTTTATAACATTTTACTGATAAATACGGGTTTTTGTGTCGCCTACGACGGATGTCGGAAAGACACACAGGCGTTGCTTTTCCGACGGTGACGTCAACAATGTTAAGGTTTTGCGTTAAGCTCTGTTTCTGACAAAGCTACCAACAAAACCTCGATCATAGATGTAGCATGGGTAGTGGAGCCTACTGCACTTAAAACATTTCATTGATTTCTGCATTTTGTTGGTAAAAACCTCAAATTTCTGGACTTAGAAAAAACCTCAACGTTGAGGTTTTGCGTTTAGCTCTTACATATTAGGCTGTTTCTGACAAAGTATAAATGCTAGAGCAACCAAACTTGGGTCATAGGTGTATTATGGGATGTATAGCTGAATGCATATATATAATTACACTCTTTACTAGCATTTAAACGATTTCTGTATTTTTTGGCTAAAAACCTCAAATTTCTGGACTTAGAAAAAAACTCAACGTTAAGGTTTTGCGTTTAGCTCTGCATATTAGGCTCCAACCAAACCTCAATCATACATGTATCATGGGTAGTAGAGCCTACTACTCTAAAAACATTTCATGGGTTTCTGCATTTTTTCGGATAAAAACCTGAAATTTCTGGACTTTAAAAAAAAATCACTGTTATGATTTTGCGTTTAGGTCTGTTTCCTTATGTACTATGTCAAATGCTTATTATATTGACAAAGCGGGACAGGTAACACATATAATTACGCTTAATTCTCCCATAGCACACCCCAAAACCCGTATCGGCCCGCAAAACCCATATCACACCCCTTTTGGATTTTTTTTCGTTTTTAAATATTTCAAAAATAAAAATAAATCATAAGATAGTAGTTTTTATTAGTAAATATGTAATAAATAGAATAAAACACGCCTTTTTCCATATCACACCAAGTATTGCAGTCTCGGGTTGATACTGGGTGTGATATGGAAAAAGGCATGTATTATTCTCTATGTATCATCTGACTAATGTCGCGTGACGTTTTATGTACCGTTGGCGATACTCTCGTTGTACACACCTGTAGGGATCTCGTGTTTTAAACGTCAAACTTCATCATAGGAGTTACTTCCCGTCGTCCCTCAGATCCAATATTATTACGCGGGCAAATTAAATTTACATTATTATTAAACATAAAGTTCCGTGTTACCTTTAATAAGATCTAAATCGAAAATCTCTGTTCATTGATAATTAATATGATTTAATGTAGGAAATATGTCTGATGGGTTTCGGGGAAATCGTAGAAATCTAAGGACCACGCTTTTGATATACATAGACGCAATGTCATCAATCCTAATAACATATATATATATATATAAAACGCCATTTGCGAATTTTACTACAGTTTGCTGAGACAATGTGTTTCAGCATTGATTTCGGTAGTACCGCCGTTGTAAGGAAAGCTGACGTCGATTTTAGTGGGGGCCGTGATGGCCAAGTGGTTAAGGCGTCTGTCATTCTGCTACATGTACCACTAGCGTTTTAAACTGGAATTAAAATAAAGGACACTTTACACTCCTCCACTTCAGCTGTTTTTGTCGATATTTACTTATAACAGGGACGGTTCCTACGTTATAGTACGATAAGCGGGACGATTTTGATTTCTCTACCGTGAACTTTCCCTTTCTAGATAGTAATATTTTGCTCCAATTATCTTGATTTCCGTAAAAGAAGTCGACTGCTGACGAAAGAACTTACAACACATAGTTTTCAGAGAAGCAATTAATGAAGACGATGTACATGCTTATTTACGTGGATAGGTAGCTATTCGTTTGTGTGATATGAAGGTCGATATCTTTGCATATTCTCATTTGTGTGCCTTGTTTTGTTTTCACTACCACAAATCTCGCTAAGAGGACGTGGCATTTTGGATTTGACTAAGATTTACATGGCTGGAGTCGTCGATAAAACAGAATACGCTTGTACTTCTGGAAAAAAATAATTGTACTTTTGAAAGGGTCTCCACGTAAATCTTTCCATTATTCTATTTGCCAGTTTTAACCTAGTATTTCTAGAGTTCCTATATTTTGTGATCGGCAAATACAATATAGGTTAGATGTCTTCAAAAAGCTTAATTTAAGACAGGATATCGTGCAAATGCAATCAATCATGAAGACCATATTCTGAGATATTCTCTTCAGATATTACCATCCGGCGTGGTAACGTCTAGCAAGGGGAGGTAACTCTGATAGTCATGTCACTCGTCAATAGTCCAATGTGTTCTTATATGGGAATCTTTTGTTCAATTGCATACTGAATTTCTGCTAATCATGTTCAAACTGTGCATATACAACAAATGATCATAAAATAAAACTACAACTGAGAGATGTTGTCTATACATTGCCCGCACTGTTCAGATATTATTCGAGACAGGTGGTGCAAAGGCCCTAATAGTCATGCTAATATTCAGTCATAATCAATGTATGGAATATAACCCTCTGCTGGATTCTTTATCAGAATGTGTATGGTATATTTGTGACATGTATGGTATCTTTGTGACATGTATCGTCTCTTTGTGATATGTATGGTCTCTTTGTGATATGTATGGCACCTTTGTCACATGTATGGTCTCGTTGTCACATGTATGGTCTCTTTGTGATATATATGGCTCCTTTGTCACATGTATGGTCTCGTTGTCACATGTATGGTCTCTTTGTGATATCTAAGGTCTCTTTGTGATATGTATGGCTTCTTTGTGGCATGTATGTTTTCTTTGTGACATGTATGGTCTCTTTGTGACATGTATTGTCTCTTTGACACATGTATGGTCTCTTTGTCACATGTATGGTCTCTTTGTCACATGTATGGTCTCTTTGTAATATATATGGCACCTTTGTCACATGTATGGTATTGTTGTCACATGTATGGTCTCTTTGTGATATCTAAGGTCTCTTTGTGATATGTATGGCTTCTTTGTGGCATGTATGTTTTCTTTGTGACATGTATGGTCTCTTTGTGACATGTATTGTCTCTTTGACAAATGTATGGTCTCTTTGTCACATGGATGGTCTCTTTATGACATGTATGGCCTCTTTGTCACATGTATGGTCTCTGTGTGATATGTAAGGTATCTTTGTCACCTGCATGGACTCTTTGTGACATATATGGTCTCTTTGCGACATGTATGATCTCTTTGTGACATGTATGGCCTCTTTGTGACATGTATGGTCTTCTTGTGGCATGTAAGGCCCTTTTTGTGGCATGTTTGGCGTCTTAATGGCATGTTTGGCGTCTGTGTCACATGTATGGTCTCTTTGTGATCTGTTAGGTCTCTTTGTGGCATGTATGATCTCTTTGTGATATGTATGGTCTCTTTGTGATATGAATGGTCTCTTTGTGATATGTATGGTCTCTTTGCCATATGTATGGCCTCTTTGCGACACATGTATGGCGTCTTTGTGGAATGTTTGGCGTTTTTGTGGCATGCATGGCATGTTTGACACATGTATGGTCTCTTTGACATATGGATGGTATCTTTGTGGCATGTATTGTCTCTTTGACACATGTATGGTTTCTTTGTGGCATGTACGGTCTCTTTGTGGCATGGATGGGGTCTTTGTGGCATGTATGGTCTCTTTGTGATATTTATTGCACCTTTGTCACATTATGGTCTCTTTGTCACATGTATGATATCTTTGTAACCTGTATGGTCTCTTTGTAACATGTCAGGTCTATTTGTGATATGTTTTGTCTATTCGTGATGGCGTCTTTGTCACATGGACGGTCTCTTTGTTACATGTATGGCATCTTTGTGATATATATGGCCTCTTTGTGACACATGTATGGCCTCTTTGTGGCATGTTTGGCGTCTTTGTGGTATGTATGACCTCTTTGACACATGTATGGTTTCTTTGTGATATGTATGGTCTGTTTGTGATATGTATGGTCTCTTTGCCATATGTATGGTCTCTTTGTGATATGTAAAGTCTCTTTGGGGCATGTATGGCCTCTTTGGCACATGTATGGTTTCTTTGTGACATGTATGGTCTCTTTGTGACATGTATTGTCTCTTTGACACATTAATGGTTTCTTTGTGACATGTATGGCGTCTTTGTGGCATGTTTGGGGTCTTCATGACATATATGGTCTCTTTGTGGCAGGTATGGTCTCTTTGTGATATGAATGGTCTTTTTGTGAAATGTATGGTCTCTTTGTTACATGTATGGTCTCTTTGTGATATGTATGGTCTCTTTGTGATTTGTAAGGTCTCTTTGTGGCATGCATGGCCTCTCTGGGGCATGTATGGCCTCTTTGTGGCATGTATGGCCTCTTTGTGGCATGTTTGGCCTCTTTGACACATGTATGGT